TCCCTCCGTTGCCGCGTTCCTTCTCCCAGGAGCCTCTGCCTGCCCTTCATCTGTGCGCCCAATCCTGAGCCAGATTCCCTCTGCTCTGAAGCCTGGGCGGGTCCCCTTTTCCGGCGGACCCTGAGCGACCACAAGTCACATTTCACTTCCGCTCGGGCCGGAGAACCAGTGCACTACGGCTTCGAGGGGACGTCCGACAGGACCGCCTGCCACAGAACCCCTGGTGCGGACGGGCCGCGTCTGCGGAGCTGGCACCCGCGAGCCGTCTGCGCTTCTCCTGCCTCTGAGCAGAGAGGCGCGGCTGGAACAGACCGCGTGACGCTGACGGCAAGAGCCGTGACCAGAGACAGCCAGCAAGCTCAGCCTCCGGCCAGAGGTCTCGCAGGGGATCAGGCAGGGAAGGGAGAGGCGCCAGCAAAGGCTGGGCAGCACTCAGCTTGCCAGGGAATTCAAGAAAGTGTTGGCTGGTTTAGAGGAAAAATATAACACTTCCCGCTCTAATGTGTGAGGGAAGAAAAAGGGCTGTGTGGTGATATATATATAGATATATATATTCAGGTATTCATTATGAAAATTATTCAGTTAAAAATAAACTCAGTGTCACAAACAGTACGAAAATTATGGTTTTCATCATGATACATTACACCCATGGCAGTTTATAACCAGTAAGCAGAGATAACTACGAAGGATGTGGCAAACTCATGACTACTTTAGCGACGTCCCAATATAAAGACCTAGCCGCAGGTAACGGCTCGCTCGCTGATCCCGGCCAGGCGGACGGGCGAACGCCCGCGGGCGCTTGGGAGTGGAGTGGGAAAGGGTGGACGGCTCTGTTAAGGGATGTGAGCTAGGTGGCGTTATAAGATCGCCTTTGCTTTTGTGAGGATGTTTGTACGACGGTAAATATATTCTGTTCCTTTCTCTTCCTTTTCCTTTTCTTCTTATCTAGGGTTGTGTAGGGACAGAGAAGGGACAGGCGGTGCCGAGACAGCTGACTGCCAGGTCTGGGCACAGGAGAGAATGTGGCGGACTGCAAAGAGATTTATTAAAGAAGAAATAGTAGAACACAGACAAGGCGAATTTTAGGGACCTAGTGGAAATAAGAAATGTACCATTTTAATGGGCTAAATAATATGTCATAGCTTGTCATTTTCATGCTTTACACTCTTCACAGCAAGTCCCCAGGCATCAGTGGAGGAGTTGCAGATTCGCCAATCTACTAGCTAGCAGAACCGGCCATGATTAACAGACAAAGGATCAGGAGGCTATAGTAGGAGTCAATGTACCTGCTCGACTTCCCACAGCCGGCACTGTCAGAAGCCGGGCCTGGAACTGTCCCCTGGACTTTTTCCGTGCCGCTTCTGAACAGCTAAGGAGGTGCTGATCAAACCAAGCCCGTGACCAGGGGTGCCGTTCCCCCTTCTTCAGTCTCAAGACAGCCTCCATAAATCTCCGTGAGTTGCCCTGGCCGAGACAGCCTGTGTGTCTGCTCCTCCATCGAATCGAAGTCAGTCTCGGCGTGCGGCGTTCTTATCTTGCCACGGGGGTGAGGGTTTCCTGTCGTTGCCAGTGACTTACTGTCTGCGAGTTGACTCGAGAGACACACCTGTGGAAGAGTGTCAGCTGCTTTAACTGCTTCAGTCCGCCCACCGGCCCACGCCACGCCCACAATCCCGCAGACAGTCCTCGGCGACATCCCACGACAGTCCCCGCAACGGCGACAGTCCCCACGACCAGTCCGCTCACAGCGACAGTCCGCACACTCCGCGATCAAAACCGCACGTCCGCGCTGCGCAGACCACGAGTCCGGCTCTGCGTCTGAAGACAGGGAAGCTGGAAACCAAGCGCTGAAGCGGTTTTGACCCCACAGGCAGTCTTGCTTGTCCTGTGAACAGAACAGGCAACATAACCGCATACATGTTTCATCACGCTATTTCAACATGTTCACGATGTTATGCTGATAAAGTGAAACACTAAAACAGTCGATCGCGCTGCCCGGCTACAGTCGCTTGTGCGCGCTCGTCTGTGGCTACCGACCACAGTCACGCTGGTCCCAAAGTGCGTGAAGCCTTCCCCGTCACAACAAGAGCAGCACGGACCGTGGTCCCTGCGCACACAGACTGTCCGCGTGGCCTGAGTGCGGCTGTGGCGGCGTCGCGGCCCGCCAGCGCCGACGAAAAGGTTAAGGGCTGGATTAGAAAAAGCCCATGAACAAAAACTCTTTAGAAAATAGGACCAGGTTTTGGAAGGTTTCTTCCTTTCTTCTCCCAGAAACTTATGGTTTCCTGGTTCTAACAACCATGTGTCCCTGTTGGCTTCTCTTACCCGGCTGTAATGGAAACACAAGTGTCGGCTGCTTTCATTTTATTGTTAAGCCCAGTCCCTCTCTCATCCCTTAAATATCTTTATTTCCACACGGCTTGCAAACAAATCGCGTCCAACCTGTTCTGGAAGATGGGATACAACTTAGCTGACTACAGAATGAATCGTGTAGCTGGGGAGAGTTAGGCTTCCCTTGTCTCCCTATTAATTTGTGAATCAATGAATTATACCGCAGTGGTTTTAATTTATATACCGAGATAAAAAATGGTTAACGTTATTTGTTTGATTGCGCTCATAAATGACTGCCACAATAACACGAAGATTAATCCTAAACAATGAGAGTGTGCTTTCATAATTTCTCACTTACGTTACCTCGATGTAAATGGTCGTGCTTCCCTGGTGCAAGTGTTGTGAGAGAGAGAGGATGTGTGTTCTTCTCTGAGTGCATGACTACCTCGTTCTCAACGGCACACTCCTCTTACCCGCCATCAGCTTCTGTGCATCTCACTCGCGCAGGTGTGATTGAGCACCTGCCGGCGCCAGGTGCCGTGTGGCTGCAGTGCGTGCCGTGAGTCGAACGTCCCGGTCAAGTCTTCCTTCGATGCCGTCACGGGGATTAGTGGCTTAGGCCATTCAATTGGCCCTGACTCTGCTGTCGGCTTGTAATATGCTTTCATGAATGGTTTGTCTGTCTCTCCGTCAAGAGTATGGCCTCTCCAGAACAAGGACCGTTATCTTATCATCTTCCAAAATCACACAGCTTCAGGTACGTTGGACCTAGACATACCAGGTCTCGCCAGATGGTTTTATTATATCGATACATGATCCCTGGTAATTCAATAAAACAAACGCTATTATATGGGAAGTGAAATTTGTTTGAGGCCTTCAAACTCAAAAACCTGTTATGTGGACATATTAAATAAAGCAATCCAAGGTCCAAGATCAGCAGCCGATGGACAGTCCAACCGCAGATCAGAGGTCGCGGACGGACCCTGCGCAGAGCTCGCTTTCAGGAACCGACAGCTGGAGCCTGCAGCCTGGGCGGCGGCCGGTGAGTAACGCCTCGGCCGACACCACTGCGGATCGCACTGCTGGAGAAGTGTGATGCGTGTGGTCACGACACTGGACGGGGCTTGTGCTTTCTGAGAACGGGCAAGCACGTCAGAACAAGCCATCCTGAGCACTAAGCTGAACAGAACCTGTCCTTGTGTTGGCCAACGCACCACCGTCTTTCAAAGTGGGGGGTGGAGAATGAGAGCCGCAAGAAACACTGTTTGCGGGGACGTGAGCTGACGCCCCGGTGAGAGCAGCGGTATTCAGGCGGGAAGTGGACGTGAGGCAGGAGATAAAGGTAAGTAAAGACCTAAGTGCCTGCAGGGAACAAAAGCCAGCTTCTCAATGCATGCAGTGCCATGGGGGCAAATGTTCCCGTGGACTCCAGTGGCATAAACTTGCAGAGTGCTTCTCGGAAAAAGCTTTTGGGATTTGGGACCTAGAGCCCAAGTCTCTTGGGTTCTACAATTGAAGTACTAAGAATTTGAGTTGACATAAACTCCTCTTGGATCTTTTTGGTAGTTCTCAAACTCGACTTATCATCAGAATTAATTCGGCAACACTTTTTTTTTTGAGACAGGGTCTCACTCTGCTGCCCAGGCTGGAGTGCAGTGGCCTGATCATAGCCCACTGCAGCCTCCAACTCCTGTGCTCCAGTGATCTTCCTGCCTCAACTCCCCACTAACTGGGACTACAGTTGCGCGCCACCACTCCAGCTAATTTTGGTTTTTGGTATTTTTGTACAGACAGGATCTCACTGTGTTGCCAAGGCTGATCTTGAACTCCTGGCCTCAAGTGATCCTCCTGTCCCAGCCTCCCAAAGCGTTAGGATTACAGGTATGAGCCACTGCACCTGGCCAGGCAGCCTTGTTTTCTAAAGAGAAGACTCTTTGGTTTTACCTCCAGATCTTTTTAAAGCATCCAGGTGATTCTGGAATCGTCAGGGTTTGGAGTGCCCTGGTCTATAGTTCCGTTCTCTGGGCTAAGCTTTGTTGGGAACCAAGGGCTAGAAAAAGGGGGTCCTGGTCCCTCAGCAACGAGTGCTGGAGACACAACTGGCACGTGGGAACAGCAGAGACTAATGACTGTGAGGAAGGGGAGCCCAGGGTGGAATTGGTGCTGCACGGTGTCCTGGACCGTGAGGAGAGAGGCAGGTCAGGTCTGGCAGGAAAAGAGCATCAGCAAAACCACAGAAATTAGATAAGCAGCGCCGCAGGGAGGAGAGCCAGCCATTGGGGTGGAGGGGACACATATGGGAGTCACTGGAAATAAATCTGACGTGTAGATATCTAGCAAGTGGCTATGGAATTCTTTTTTAAGAACACTGCTCACAGACAGTGGCCCAGTGGAAAGCGTGACTTGAATCAATAATTTCCACCGAGTTGAAGTCAAGAGACACTGTAATTGTTGGTTGGATTTCCCTGTGTCCCACTTTCCCTCCATATCTCTCGAAAGAGCTCATCAGAATGCATCCGGCCCTGAGCACAGCAAGTGTCCCTCTGTGAGGCTTCCCAACTGCTTCTCGAGTTTCCGGCCTTGAGATGAAACAGCACTGAGGTTGGCAGTCTGAGCACCACGTGTCTGCGTGGGCACACACACTCGGGACTGGGACCGTCACCGTCAGACACCCTCCACGGCCGAGGCCATCTGGGAGCACAGCAGAGAGGACGCCCATCAAAGGTTGCTACCATGGACCCTACCCTGGTCCTGAATCCCTGATATCCAATATTAGGGGTGACTTTGGAAATTTGCCTAACGGTGTATCCTTCACCAGATCTGCTCTGAGCCTGTCACCATGGGGTATAGAGTCAGGTGCCCATTAGATTAGATTTTAAGATGAGTCCACATTTTGATGTGGTCCTAGCACCTTGGACAGACTAAAAAAAATAGCATCCAGAAATGGAGAGTGACAAGTAGAAGAAGATGATAAAACACAAAAGATGGCTGAGAAACATCCCCTAATTAAGGTGTGGAAGCCACTTATTAGTATTGTTGATCGTGGCTGTGAACATGGGTGCAACCCCAAGCACAGGGATGTGGCAGACGGGAGTGATGCAGTTACCTGTCCCCCTGCTGGGCTCCCAGGGAGAGTTGTCACAGCTCGTGCATCACCGCGGTGGCTCTGGTTTGTAAGAGTGATGCTACAGAAAACAAGAAAATGCGAACAATTCAGGCAGGTAAGAGGCATGAGCCCCAGAGAAGAGTTAAATGATTCCAATTCTTTCCAGGAGAAGAAAACCCAGAGAAGGTATTAAATAGACCATTTAAATATAGGAGAGTTATTTTAAGGAGAAAAGCACTTCTCTATCTGTGTGTGGCTTAAGTGAGAGGAAATGGCTTTAATTTCCAGAAGAGAGGTTCATTTACTTATAAGGAAAACTTTCTGAGCAGGACTATTACCAATCAGATAACTGATTTTGGAGATCTTTGAGATGAAGAGAAGCAGACTTTTGTCTGGAATGACAGAATTCTGGCAGGGAAAGAAAAGGGGAATGGATCGCACCCTGAGCAACCTGGCAGTTCAGGCTCTGGGGTCCTTGCAAGGCGAGGAAAGGGAGTGTCACAATCACAGGCACTTTCCATGCGCTTACCTAGCGTGCCCCGCGAGCCATCCCGTAGAGTGACTCCTTCCATCCTCACGGCAGCCCCGCGAGCGAGCTACTCCCTATGCACTGCAGGTGAGGAAACTGAGGCTCACACAGTTAAGTCACGTGTTCAAGGCCACACATCGGCGAGTGCAGAACCAAGTTTGGGGTCCAGCAGTTGATGTCTGGCTCCTCCATAAGAAGTTGTCTCTCTTTTGGTTTTAAGCAATCAATCCCTTTCCTGTCTCTATTTCTTCTCTCCTGGGGGAGCACCCCTATCGCCTGTTCCGAGAGGCAAAAGTAAGAAATTGAAGTGCTTTATTTAAACTATGTTCTTTCTTTGAGCTTTATTAAGGTTTAATTGACAAATATAAATCGTATATATACAGGGTGTCCCAAAAAGTTGCCACATATAACGAAAATGGGAGGTTGTAGCTAAGTGTACCGTTATTTACAAAATATTCATTATACAATTTTTCCTTTGTATGCAGACTTTTGGGACACGCCATATTATGGTATCCAATGTGATGTTTTGATATTAATAGATGTATGCATTGCAAAATGATTAAATCAAGTTAATTCACATGCCAGCACCTCACATACTGATTTTCTTATGGTGAGCACACTTAAACCTACTCTTTGCAATTTTCCGGTATCCAATGCATTGTTATTAACTGTGGTCCCCGGGTTGCAAGAGCAGTCTTGACTTACTCCTCCTGTCTGACGGAAACGTTGTATCCTTTGACCAAGGTCTCCCCAGAGGCCCGGCCCCAGCCCGAGGAGCCACCACTCCGCTCTCTGCCCCTGCAGCTTTCTCAGACTCTGCCCTGTCTTCCGGCGGCTGGTGTGCTTCACTTAGCACGATGTCCTCTGGGTCTGTCCATGCTGTTGCAAACGGCAAAATTCTGTTCTCCATAAATTTTAAAACTCGTGAGTGTAGGAAGGAATTCTTTAAAGACCAGGCCCTCCCCGGGATGTCCCTCTGTTCCGTCCCCACAGTCAGCAGGCGCCGGGGCCGGCCACGGGGCTGGGCGGGAGTCAGGCCACCTCCCGGCCCCGCTCAGCAGCCACTTCCGGGTGTGAACCAGGGCCCAGATCCTTTATTAACTTGCCTTCGACTGCCTTGTTCTGGCAAGGATTTTAGGCAGCTGAGGCTACAGTCAGTTCTTAGTGTCAAGCAAACCAATACCCTCTACTCCAGGCCGCGGAGGACTTGTGGGTCTGCTCACCCGTCACTAACCCAACGCTGCAGACCCAGCTCTCGGCCGGGTTCAGGGCAACCAGGCGACTTACACCAAAGAATGAGATAGGCCTTGTGTCGGTAGCTGTCAAGAGGTGGCCTTAACCTGCCACAGGAAATCTGCTTTCAGGGTGGGCGGGCATGGGAGAGCAAGGAGAAGGGTTACAAAGAACTTTGCTTCCCAAAGGTTAAGGCTGGTTCTCCTCAGCCAAAGATAAATGGAAACATTGATGGTAGGTTCCATGACTTTCTGGATAGTTCTGGAAACGAGGCCTTGGGAAGGGAATGTCCAGGTCTTAGGCAAGCCTCCTCTTAGCTTGGACCACAGTGACTTGGTCCCAGAGTACCTGTGACTGTCGTGATTCAGAGGGCTTCATTGCTGACACAAGCTCTATTCAGAAGGAAACTATTTCTAACTAGGAACAGTTGGTGTTTGGAGTTTTCATCTCTGGACCCCTCAGTCGGCCTGAAGTGATGCTGCTGAGGTCACCTCCACGTGGGAATTCACCTTTTAGCTCTTACTCACTTTCTGTCTGCACAACAGGGCAGTGCTAGCCTTGTCCCTGGAGGCCCCACATCCAGGGCCTTGCCTGAAGCTTGGGCAAGCCCCCCCCCCCGGATTCAAAATGATGCTTCCAGCAGGCTGGGCACAGCGGCTCACACCTGTAACTCTAGCACTTTGGGATGCCGTGTTGGGAAGATTGCTTGAGGCCAGGAATTCGAGACCAGCCTGAACAAGATTGAAACCCTCGGCTCTACCGAAAATAGAAAAACTAGCCCATCCTGGTGGCATGCACCTGTAGTCCCAGCTACTCAGGAGGCCGAGGCAGGAAGATTGCTGGAGTCCAGGAGTCTGAGGTTGCTGTGAGCTAGGCTGACGCCACGGCACTCTAGCCTGGGCAACGGAGTGAAACTCTGTCTCAAAAAAAAAAAAAAAAAAATCAAACTTCCAGTTAGAGTCCAGCACAGGGTGGCAGGGACCCCGGGCTCAGCTGGCATGTAGCCCACCAGAAAGACCAGACCCTCGCACTTACGCCAACACAAGGAGCCTCTTCACCAGTGGTGCACAATGTCTCCACTCAGACAAGGGCCAGAGTTTTGGTGGCATGCCAGAAGGAATGAGGCAGCCAGGCCGTCTGCCCTGTGAGAGCCGGGCTGCTGCCCTCGTGGCCCACTCTCCTCACGGTGCCGCCAGTGGACCCAGGATCCGTGTCCTAAAGGTTTAACAAAAGGGGCCCAGTGGCCGTGAGGAGGGCACACAATGCTGTCAGTTGATGTAACCCTATGTCACAATGCCACATTGTTATCAGCTCTCTAAGAAGTGATGCAGTCACTTCAGAAAAAAATAAAAAACCCACACACCACACACACCCACATCATCTTGTACACGGCCTTGTGGGGTGGGTCGTGGGCACCCTGAAGGCGGGCTGTGGACACAGACAAGGCCACCGGCAAAGGTCCCTGCCGGTGTGTAGACATGTCACCCTGGTGAAGGCACACAGAGGGCCGGGGCCAGCCCTGTCGGCTCTCCGTGCTCAGAACCAATGCTTACTCTTGGGTCTTGCAGTCCTAGGAGGAAGTAGAACATTCTAGTTCTGGACACAGACCTACTGTGAGTTCCAGCTGTGTGACTTTAACTAGCTGTGTGACTTTAGGCAAGGTACTTGACCTCTCTTAGCCTCAGTTTCCCCCTCTGAAAAATGGGCTAATAGCAGTACCTGTATTGTGGGATTGTTTGAAGGTTAAATGAGAAAGCAGACACAAGCTGTGTGGCGCGTGCTTAGCAAGGAAGTGCTCAGAGCACACCAGCTGGGAGCAGGTCCCGGCGCACGCCGCACCAGCGCACAGCGACATTCGATGGCCAAGGCTTAAGATGAAGAGACCCCAGAGACGACCGGGCCATCATGCTCACACTCAGGACAGGTCTGTCCATCTGTCACAGCCTCTATGCACCATTTTAAGAGCAACGAGCACCCACCCCTCTTAAGATGAGATGTGGGGGGACCCCAAGTCCTGGGGCAATTTGACACGGCTGAGAAGCGAAGCAGCCACACAACAGGTGACACGCGCTGGGTGATGGAAGCGCCTGGCGGCCTCATCGTAGCTCCAGGGTGCAATTTGCCAGAGAGCAAATTAGAAGGGGAAAATGTGCTATTCTGAGATTCTTGGCAGCATTCTGGTGACTGCGCCCCCCAGGGGCGCCCTGAATCCCACACTGTGGCGGATCATCGCGAAACCTCAGGGCGAAGGGAAATTCCAGTTCAAGCTGTTAAGGCCTGTTCCATAAGCACAACCCAGCATGTTCCATTTTAAAATATTTCCTTGGCAGCATCTAGCCAGGCCAGCCACTTCTCTCCCACTCTCCTTGTTTCTAAGACAGTCGCAGGTCAGGGTGTTAAGAAGCCAGGGGGTGAGTAGGAAGACGGAAGGGGGCAGAAGAAACCAAAAGGCTTTGCCAGAGGATAGAGGAGAGGCACCCCCAGTCCCGGTGCAGAAGGTCTGTGTGCCAGGGTTAGGGCAGCCTGTGGTTTGCCAGCTCCGGGTTCAGCAGTGACGTCCTCGGGCCACAAGCACCATGAAACAGCTGCAGCCTGGAGCCAGATCGTCCTGCCTCCCAGTGAGCAGGACCATGGCCCTGTGTCGCAGGGAGTGGGAGCAGGCCAAGCCCCATCTGGTGCCAGGCTCTGGGCTCAGACGGCGTGTCCAGCGGCGGGCTTGCGCACGGTCCCTCTTCCGCAGGGGCACGAAGCGCAGGGCCTGGCTCGTCAACGTGCCCATTCAGTTCTGGAGTCTTCATCTCAAAACTGCTCTATGCGATCTATTTTTCTGCCTTGAAAATAACGGTGGATCAAAACCCACCAAGGGCAGGAGATGAGAGCCAGCTCCCTGCTGAGTGTCTAATTACAGACGTTTGTCCTGGAGTGGACAGTTCATCTGCCAATGCAGCAAATTAACTGGGTGCCCAACTAGAGGAAATTTGATGTGGAAAGTTCTAGCTGTTGGTCTGTAAGGCCCTTCACACCCAAATGACACTCTGGGGAAGGAAACACTATTCACAAAAGGCTCAGTTGATCCCAGACGGACCTGTGGAAGTTTACTTGGGAGAACCTGCAGGGGACCAGGCAAGAGTGAGGCCAAGTTCGCATGCAGCCCCTGCCTCAGTCTGCCTGGCAGAGCCCACCAGCCACTGGGAGCGAGGGTCGGGGGCAGCAGTGGGAGCCAGGCTGCTGCCCAGTAAGTGGCGAGAGCTCGGCTGATGTCCCGGGACAGCAGAAGAGGAGTAAATATGCAGGGCAGGAAAGGGCAGGTCTCGGCTGGTGGAGCACAGGAAAGGCTGGTTTGCTTTGAAGAAGGGTGCAGCTGGCATCCTCCCATCGCAGGGCGAGGCCCTACGCCCCTCTGAGATGCTGCTCTAAGATCCAGAAGGCGCGGGTGCCGGCCGAGGCGCTTCCGCAGGCTGGCTGGTGCTGCCGTGTGGGGCTGTGCATGGGCGCGCAGCAGGAAAGCCCGACATGCCCTGCTTCACCACGCCAAGATCAGCACACCTGCACACACGCGTCACTCATGTCACACACACGCACACATCACATAGCCCACACACGCGCACCACCCGAGGCTGCTTTGAGTGGCAAGGTGCTCCCGGTGGCAGGGCCAGCGGCGCTGTCCCTGGGGGTCTGACTGGAGGGCAGCCGCCACACTGCTCAGAGAAGGCGCGTTGCCGAGAGAACCCCCAGGGCCTGGGGTCCGTCGGCCCCGAGATGCACCCAGACCAACCTGCTCGGAGCAGCCCCAGGTGTGGGTCGCACCACAGGGCAGGCAGGGCCACGTCTGCTGAGCTCCACCAGGACACATGCCATCACCTGGTCTAATAGGGACAGAACATCTTAAGGTGGGGGTCCCCTGGAGGTGGAGGTGGAGAGTGTGTCACGATGGCGTAAATGGTCAATATTCATTTTCAAAAGTAGTTTTTGTTATCTGTTGAGCTGACAGTGGGCCAGGCACTTGGTTGGGTGCATTGCACAGAAGACCGTTGGTCCTCACAGCTGCTCTCAGAGGGATGCCACCATGCCCATTTTACAGACAGGAAATGAAGGCCAGCATGGCTAAGTGGCCCGCCTAAGGCCTGGCATGCAGAGTTGAAGCAGGGCTCAAGCAGGCCTGTCCGACTCCAGAGCCTGCGTTCTCTGCGTCTGCTGTGTTGGGAAGTCTTGGTTGTCCTTGAGAAAATGTCTATGACGAAATGCACCCGTGGGGGTCCAGGGGTGAGATCAAGTAGATGAATGTGGTATGAAATTTGTTTCTAATTAAATCTGACATAAAATTTTAGAATGTGTTATTATATACTGAGTTGCAAAGCAAAAAATGTTTCCAAATGCCAGCCACAACCACCAATTTCTCAGGGAATGGTAAAAATACAAACTGCCTGTGTAGACAGCTAAATGCAGAAACCCACGGAAGGACTGAGTTAGGCCGGGAGCGCTCGGGCTGCTTCAGTGAGTGAGGCGGGAGAGCACACCGCCCTTGGGCACCTAGTGCGGCCCCTTCTCTGAAGAATCCTGCTTGCTGGAGGATCAGCTGAAAGGTTTTAAGTTGACTTAAAGCCAGTGGGTGTCAGAAAGCTCACATCGTTTTGCACTTAGCTGGTGACCCTGTTTTATTAATATCAGTGTGGTCAGCCATATTGACGCCAGCAGCACACACTTGTGTGACGTGTTTCCACATTGGAAGCACAGGCCCCTGTCGCTTGGGCCACGTCTCCTCCACCCCATCTGAGGCTGTGACCCAGCGGGGACAGTGCGCTGATGTCCTGCCAGCAGCACACACTTGTGTGACGTGTTTCCACATTGGAAGCACAGGCCCCCGTCGCTTGGGCCACGTCTCCTCCACCCCATCTGAGGCTGTGACCCAGGGGGGACAGTGCGCTGATGTCCTGCCAGCAGACGGCAGGCGCAGGGGCGCAGGTCAGTGCCACGCGCGTGCTCCAGTCCTCGCTGAGCTCGGGAAGTAGCAGGGCCAACTTGGCCAAGACAACACACGGGGCAGAACGTTGTCTTTCTTAAAAGAAATTGGGTCAAGGAAGAAAGAATCTCGGAAGAGGGACAGGTTGGTCCTTGTCATCCTGACACCTGCCTTCCCCAGAGTCGTCTTCCTTTTTGGGCTGTTTTAGGCTAGACTCAAAGGATCTATTCTTCAAAGTTCTGGCCCCAAATGCAGATAAACTCCTTCCGTGTCTTCCCCACAGCACAGCTGTGATAGCACTGGAACGTTCAAGGCTTATTAATAACGAAAGAGAAAGATACAAAGAAACGAACATTTGATCAGATAATCCGGCACCGAAATACTGTCATCTCCCCCTTTCTGGGGCACCTGCTTCTTTGCCCGACTCCCTGCCTGCTCCTCCGTGCTGGGCAGGGCCTGGACACGTCCACAGTGGTGTGCAGACGCCTGGGGACCCACACTCACGGACAGGGCTGTCGGGAGGTGCTCCCTCCCCTTCGTGCCCAAGATGTCCTCGCTCTGCGCCCGGTGACCCGTAGTCCTCTCCTGTACCAATTCCATGTTTATTGAGCGCCTGCCGCGTGCTGGCTGTGCGGGAGGTGGGGGACGAGGGGATGGAACAGCCACGTCTCGCCCCGCCAGGGAGCCGCGCTGGGTGGTGTCTGGGATTCCCTGGCCAGGCACAGAGGGCCGTGCCTCCGTCATGAATCATTCTGATGTTTCCGCAAAGTTTCTCTTCCTCTCACTTCAGTCCTTGCCTGAAGCGTCAAGCGCTGAGTTTAACCCTCTGAGAAGACCCAGGGCCACTTCTGTTCTGACGGGGCAGGTGGCCGGGAGACTGCCCTGGGCGGCTTGAGCCTCCTTCTAGGCGTGGGCAGCGCGGGTGGGGCCCGAGCGCTCTGAGAGGGGACTGTTTACAAAGCGACCGCGCCAGCCCTCTGGCGATGCCGGGACATGGCGGCCACGCCCCCTGCAAGTGTGCGGTCTGGGTGTCTCGAGGCTCCAGAGGAGCCCTGTGGCCCGGGGCTCATGGTTGGACCCACCCTGCCGGGTGCCGACGAGCGTCTGCACCAGGACACCCCATGGTCCAGGGAGCACTGGGTCCCCACTCAAGTCTGCGGCCAAGGAGGGGGGCTCTGCTGCTCCCAGACCTCTCGGGAGTCTGGACTGGCCAGACCCGGTGCGGTTCCAGGTGACGCGTGTGGCTGGGGAGCGGCGGGCTGAGGGAGGAGCCAGGCTCCGGCCCCCTCCCTCCGGGCCGCCCCGGCCCCTTTCCAGGGTGCTTGTCCACCTCCCGGCTCTGCACCTGGCCCTCTCCCCGCCTGGGCGCCCAGGACCACAGGGCTCTCAGAGGCCCCGGCTGGGCACACTACTGCCACCAAAGAGAAACATCAGACGATGGACACCATCGCATTCTCTTTTTAAAAAAGTTTCTCATAATGGTTTCTAGAAATTTATAGCACATTAGAGCCTATATTTTTCTGTGTGTTCTAGAGTGTACTGTACTTCATTGTCAAACTGCCAGGAGAGTAAGTCCTCATTGGTTTACTAATTACTATTTTTATTACATTTAAGAGACTTTGCAATTTTTTTTAGTGATTTGTTTTGCCTTGTAATTAGATGTTGTGAAGAAATTAGAAGCATTTTAATGTGATCTTGGGATGGTCTGTAACAATCACAGCAAAGATAAAAGTATCGAAGAGGCAGCAAGATAAAAATGCAGGATACAACTGTTGCCTCATTCTTCTAACATAGCTGCTTTCAAGCTGCGGTTCACAAACCTCCGAGGGTTGCTGAGACCTTTCAGGGAGACCATGGAGCCAAAACTGTTTTCCTAATGAGAGTAAAATGTCGTTTACCTTTTCCACTGTGTTGGCATGACACAGAAGCAGCA